CCTTCTTTCCTTCCCTCCCTCCCTCTCTCTCTTTCCCTTCCTTCCTTTCTTTCTTCCTTCCTTCTTTCCTTCCCTCCCTCCCTCCCTCTCTCTCTCCCTTCCTTCTTTCCTTCCTTCTTTCCTTTCTTCCCTCCCTCTCTTTCCCTTTCTTCCTTCCTTCCTTCCTTCCTTCCCTCCTTCCCTCCCTCCCTCCCTCTCTCTCTCTTTCCCTTCCTTCCTTTCTTCTTTCCCTCCCTCTTTCCCTTCCTTCCTTCCCTCCCTCCCTCTCTCTCTTTCCCTTTCTTCCTTTCTTTCTTCCTTCCTTCCCTCCCTCCCTCCCTCTCTCTCTCTCTTTTCCTTCCTTCCTTCCTTCCTTCCTTCCTTTCTTTCTTCTGTCTTCCCTATTTTATTATCTATTTGGTTAGGTCCACGAGTTCCTCCTGTCTTCTGAAATACCATCTGCGCTTCCTCAGGAGCCACCCTGAGTCCTGGGGCGCTGCAGCCCAAATGTGGGCATTCTGTTATTCCATAGAACCTCTTGGCAACATCTGTTCTACTTCCTGGTCACCCTCGGAGTATCAGCTGCAGGTGTTCTCTGCTGGTCGTAGGCTTTGGCTGACCGCCCCCATGTCTGGCTGACGAGCTCCTGCTCTGACATGGTGCAGCCAGAAGTGGAGGTTTCTGAGTCCTTGTTGTACCGACTGTTGCTGGTAACAGAGTGACCATCTAAGCTGCTGATGGTAACAGAGTTAACGTCTCTGCTTTCGTCCCTTTCCCCTTTTTCCAGCGTCCTTAATTCGATGCAGTTGATAGGATGGAGACACTTGCAGTCTCTCAGCGTCCTCGCTCTTTCTTTGTACCTTTTCCTAATTTGGCGTTGGTTTTTGCCTTTGTTTTAAGCAGTCGCTTATCTGATGACACGTCCGTAGCAGCTGGTTTGGAGGTGATCCCCGGCCACCCTGCTGGTCAGTCTTTTCCAGCTGGGCACCTCTGGTTATAACAGAGGAGCATGAAGCTCCCAAGCAGTCGATAGAGCCTTTGGTTTTTTCTTGTTGTGATCCCAGAAAAGCACCCACCTCCCTCTGTAGTTGAAACATTCTGGGAGGCTTGGATTTCTGTAGTGTAACAGTCAGAAACCTTTGAGGTGGGGGGCACCAAATGCTGGGCTTGGAGCCAGAGAGACTTGGGTTCAGATCTGGCTTCTGGGAACCTGGGCAGACCCCTCAATCCCTCTAAGCCTCAGTTTCTCCATCTGTAAAAGGAAAATGATAATGCCTCGGGTCTCCACTGCACACATTTGTTGTGAGGCTCAAATGACACAATGTATCAGGGGCTTTGCCAGGTTTACAGCCCTCTAGGAAGACTGGCTCCTATCATTAACGATAACTGATGATTATGAATTAATTGTTAATTATCACCCCCATTTTGTGGAGGGAGAAGCCGAGGCTTAGCTCAGTTAAATGGCTTTACCTGCCCACGCAGCAGCGTTATGTCAGAGCCAGACCTTTGCTGTGTCTCTAACGATTCTGTAACTCTTGTGCTTAAAAAAAATTCATTTTTATTAATCCCTTGTGTCTCTCCATCACTTTCTTTTGAGCATATATCTTCTCCCTTTGTTTTGTATCTGATTTTTTGTGATCCCATTTGGGGTTTTCTTGGCCACGACACTGGAGTGTTCTGCCGTTTCCTTTTCCAGCACATTTTACACATGAGGAAACTCAGGCAAATAGGGTGAAGTGACTTGCCCAGGATCACACAGCTATTAAGTGTCAGAGGTCAGATTTGAACGTGGGAAAGTGAGTCTTCCTCACTCCAGGCCCAGCACTCACTCGGCGCCACCTAGCAGCCCATTGAGCCGTGGCTTGTAGCAATGAATGCAAAAGAAACCAGAGCCTGGGAATAGGGTGCTTCAGTAGGTAAAAGCACTCACTGTTCCTCATCCACAGGCCCCCACCTCCGATTCTGCAAAGAAATATTTTCTCATCTCTTTTCCAGGGCCTAGGTTGGCCATTATAATTCCTTAGTATCCCCTTTATTTTTGTGTTCTCGCCATCATTTCTGTTTACTCTTTGTCTTATTTCACTTGACATTAGATCACAGAAGTTTTCCCCATTCTTCTGTTTTCCTTATTTCTTAGAACACAGTAGGCCATTTCCTGTTGCATTTATGGACCCCAATTGATTGAGCCACTTTTGGTTTCTAGTTCTTTTCTTCTTTCAGTCATTGACTTCCTTGGAGGGGCTCCCCAGTGGTGGGATGTCTGACTCAGAGCGAGTGGACATTCTCCCCTGCCCCCTTTAAAAGCGTTTTGCTTTCTGGAACACCAGCCTGTGTTCTTTCTATGGGAGGCCCCTCCTCGCTCTCAGGTCCTGGGTTTTTATGATCCTGGGATGGAGGAGACTCGGGGAAGGCCGTGGCTGAGCAGACAGCCAGGCCTGGGGCTGTGTGGCAAATGGGCTGATGAGCCAACCACCGTCGAGCCCAGGCTGAGTTGTGGGTCCCCAAGGACGGCGGAGTAGAGTGCCCACAAATCTCCGGGTGAGGCCGGTGACTGCTGGGGGGTGGCCCAAGGCAGCTTTGCGCCTGACACGGCTGTAGCATCTTTTGTGCACACGCCAGGCGAGCGAGCTTGAATAGGAGACATCCGTCATCCCCCAACAAAGGCCTTCTCCGCAGCCAGGAAAACCCTCTGCAAACACGAAAGTGCCCCAGAAGTGTTTGCCAGGTTTATTACCAGTCAATCATTCCCTCTCCATCTAGTCTCTCTCTCCCCTCCAACTTCAGTCCCCGTCATTGAATGCGTCCATCAATCGGCAAGCATCTACTAAGCTCTTACTGTGTGCTGGGCACTGTTCTGAGTGCTGGGGATACAAGGAAAGGCCCTAGCGTCTCCCGTCTTTGCTCGTGCCTCTTTTGTCTTTTGTGGAAACAGCAGGAAATGGCACACAGCAAAGCCGTCCTTGGATTATTTTTCATCTCTTCTCTGGGTTGCCGTGGCATAAAAATAATAATCCCGCAGCCGACCTTCGAGGGGTGAGCTTCTCCCTACGTGTAAGGGAATCGGGCTTGGTCTGCCTGGCCCCAGAGCACAGAGGGAGAGGTCTGGGGCTGTTCTGCTCGGAAAACTTCATTAATGATTAGAGCAGGCCGAAAGGGGCTGCCTCAGACGGTGGGTAGTGAGTCCCCCAAGCCCGAGGGCTTCAGGAGAGACAGCTCAGTGATCAGTCATTGGGGATGTTCAGGTGTCCGAGGTCCTTGAAATCTGGGTCCGAATCACTCCGCTGTGGAAGTGGCCCAGGGCGAGTCACTGCCTGTCTCTGGGCCTCAGTTTCCTCGGCTGTAAAATGAGGGAGTTGGATTGGTTTTGGTATTCCAAGGCCCCTTCCAGCTCTGTGGATCTGTGGTTCATAGGAGGCCATGTGCTGCGGTGGAGGGATTGAGCTGGATTTCGCATCACAGGACCTGGATTCAAATCTCACTCCCTCCCAATTCTCTGGGCCTCAGTTGTTTGTCAGACGAGGGGTGGAGGGGGGGATCGATGGCCTTGGAGGCCTCTTTCAGCTCTCAGCATGCGGCCGGTGACCCTCCTCCTATCATACTGTCTCTTCCCTGTGCTCCTGCTGAGGGCAGACACCTTTCTCTCTACCAGTCGGGCTCCAGAACCCGGTGTCGGCTCTTGAGGCAATTACGGTCTAGTTGAGGGATGAGACGTCAGCCTGGCTGACTCGAATCTGTAATATTGATTACGTGAGAAGCTCACTATTAGAGGAATTCCCCCTGAAACGCCATGCGGGGGAAGATCAGTACTGACTTTGGAAGTCAGGGAAGGCTTCAAGGGGGAGTTGGCATTTGATCACGGCCTCCCACTCCCTGCCACCTCCTTCCCCCCAAGCTGGAGCCTTCCTTTATAAACCGAGTCAGAATTCAGCCGCTGGCCAGATGCACAGCGGAGAGCCCTGTGACTCTGGGTGTAGAGGGGGCAAGTCCAGAGTGAGTTTAGCAGACTTTTCCTTTTTTTTTTGCTGGTGGCGTTATGTTTTACTTGGAAAAAACACCAGAGGATAAGTCCATTTAAGTCTTCTGATGCTTCTCAGAATCCCTCATATCCACTGTTTCTTACAGCGATAATGTTAGGACAATAGGTTAAGCAGTAGAATACAAAATCAACCCCTAGGTCAACAGCATTTCCACAGCAGTAGTAGGGTCCAGAGGGGCCGAGGCTGGAACGACGGCCTGAGGCCAGGTCTGAAGCAGCTGCGGGTGCCAGACGGAGGTGCCTGTAAGGAGTGGCGCTAACAGACTCCCGGCCGGTCTGGGACCTGGGATGCTGGGGATGCTCGTGGTCAGCCCTGCCTGACCTGAGGGGGCAGTGGTGAGTACGGCCCCTGATCCGGGCTCACGTTCTAACCCAACTCTTTCTCCCTCCCGCTTTCTGCTGCCTCGTCTCCGTCTTCAGCTCCATGTTCAAGAAGCACCAGGCAACCACTTGAACCCGGAGCCCAGCCAGCCCGCGACCAGCGTGGACCTGGACTTCCTGGAGGATGACATCCTGGGCTCTCCGTCCGCCGGGGGTGGCGGTGGAGGCGGAGGCTCGGGGGGCGCCGAGCAGCCGTGCGACATCCTTCAGCAGAGCCTGCAGGAGGCCAACATCACGGAGCAGACGCTGGAAGCCGAGGCCGAGCTGGACCTGGGCCCCTTCCAGCTGCCCGCTCTGCAGCCGGCCGACGACGGTGGTGGGGCTGGTGGGGCTGCGGCCGCCGCCGGAGCCCAGGCTCTCTTCCCTGGCGGCGCCGACCTCCTCGGCCTCCAGCCGCCGGCTGTCTTGACTCACCAAGCCCTGGTGCGGCCGCCCGACGTGGTGAACGTGAACAAGGCCCTCGGCGTCCAGCCCTTCCTGCAGCCCGTCGGCCTGGGCAACGTGACCCTGCAGCCCATTCCTGGCCTTCAAGGGTTGCCCAACGGCAGTCCTGGGGGTGCCGCAGCCGCCGCCCTGGGCCTGGCGCCCATCCAGGTGGTAGGGCAGTCTGTGATGGCCCTCAACCCGCCGGCCCCCCAGCTCCTCGCCAAGCAAGTGCCCGTGGGGGGCTATCTGGCCCCAGCAGCACCGGCCGAACCCGGCCCTGTGACGCTGGCCTCTGCCGGGGTCTCCCCGCAGGGGGCCGGCCTGGTCATTCAGAAGAACCTTTCGGCCGCCGTCGCCACCACCCTGAATGGGAACTCGGTGTTTGCTGGGGGCGGGGTGCCCGGGACAGCGGCTGCAGGCGGAGCTGCGGGCCCGGGGGGCCAGCCGCTGGCAGTGGCCTCGGGCCTGGGAGCCTCCTCCCTGGTGCCGGCGCCCAACGTGATCCTGCACCGTACCCCAACACCCATCCAGCCCAAGCCGGCGGGCGTCCTGCCCCCGAAGCTCTACCAGCTCACGCCCAAGCCTTTCGGCACCGCCGGTGCTACGCTCACCATCCAGGGCGAGGCGGGCGGTCTGCCCCAGCCTCCCAAGGCCCCCTCCAATCTGACCTTCATGGCTGCGGGCAAGGCGGGCCAGAACGTGGTGCTCTCCGGCTTCCCGCCCTCGCTGCCGGCCAACGTCTTCAAGCCGCCTCCCGCCACAGCGGGCAGCACGCCAGGCACCTCGGCAGCTCCCCCACCCGGCACCCTCAGCAAGCCCATGAGTGTCCACCTCCTCAACCAGGGCGGCAGCATCGTGATTCCCGCCCAGCACATGCTCCAGGGCCAGAACCAGTTCCTTTTGCCTGGAGCCCCCACCGTCCAGCTCCCCCAGCCCATCTCGGCCCTCCCCGCCAACGTGGGAGGGCAGATCTTGGCCGCTGCGGCTGCCGCCCCCCACGCCGGGGGCCAACTCATCGCCAATCCGATCCTCACCAACCAGAACCTGGCGGGGCCGCTCAGCCTGGGCTCCGTGTTGGCCCCCCACGCCGGCGGCCACGGGGCTGCTCACATCCTCTCAGCTGCCCCCATCCAGGTGGGTCAGCCCACCCTCTTCCAGATGCCTGTGTCCCTGGCCGCCAGCAGCCTGCCCACCCAGAGCCAGCCGGCCCCTGCCGGCCCGACCGCCACCGCCACCGTCCTCCAGGGGGTCACGCTGCCCCCGAGTGCCGTGGCCATGCTCAACGCGGCCGAGGGCCTGGTCCAGTCTGCGGCGGCCCCGGCCGGCGGCGAGACAGCTTCCGTCCTTACTGTGCAGGCAGCCCCCCAGGCCCCTCCTGCTGCCGCTGCAGTGCCTCCTGTGACCCCACTGCCGCTGGGCCTCCCGCAGCAGCCGCCGCCCCCGACCCCCACACAGCCCCCGACTCCCCAGCCGAGCCCCAGCCTGGCATCCAGCCCCGAGAAGATCGTCCTGGGACAGCCAGCTACCACCACAGCCGTCATCACTCAGGAGTCCATGCAGATGTTCCTGCCCCAGGTAACCGAATGGGTTGGGGGGGGGCCGGGGAAGGCAGGTCAGGGCCGTGGGGAGAGGGTCAGCGGGGGGGAGGGGCCGGTAAAGAGATGAGTAAGAGGAGACACAGAAGAGATGGGAGAGCAGAGGATGGATGACGTGACAGCAGGAGGGAAGATCAGTCGGTCAGGGAGGACGGGCACCCGAGGACCGGCTCTCGGTGGATGTGCTGCGTCAGACCTGTGTGTGGGGCAGCCCCGGGGCCAGGGGGCAGGGGCCGTGTCTCTGGGGGTGGGGAAGCCTGTCCGTGGGCAGGGATTTCTGACCCTTTGGGGCTGTTTCAGAAGGAGAGGAGCCAGCAGTCCCCGTACCTCCCGCTGCCCATGGAGGGCGCCCACCTCTCCCTGCCTCTGCCCGCCTACAGCGTCGCTGGCTCGGCCCCCAGCACCTCGAGCAGCGCGCCTGCCTCTGTCATAGTGAGCAGCGGCGCGGGCCAGCCGCAGGCCCGCGACCCCGCCCCGGGCACCCCCGACACCAAAGGAGCCGGCCTCATACCTCAGTTCCCCACCAGCCAGACTCCCCCGGCCCTGACCCCCCAGGTAGAGCCCAGCCCCCACTTCGGCTCTCCATCCCCCGTCCCCAGCAAAGTCTGTTGTGGGGTTCGGTTTGTTTGGGGGGAGGGCTGCTCCTTCCCCTTTCGCTTGACCCTCTGCTGTCTTGCTACTTATTCCTCTGTCACTTGCTTGGAAGGGGGAAGAAACACTTGTTCATTCACTCAGCACATTTACTGAGGCCCTACTGTGTGCTCAGCTTGGCCCAAGGAGAGAAGGAAGTGACCCACTGAATTCAATCCAAGTGGATCCCCCGACATTTAAGCCTCAGGGATAGAAAGACCAGGGCGAGGGAGATAATGAAGTCTCTGTGGAGAGAAGTATGGTACAGGTGGTGGCTGCTGCTGGATAGAAGTCAGATGACCTGGGTTCAAATCTCAGCCCTGCCACTTAATGGTTGTAGGAATATGGGCATGTCCCTTTAACCCCTCTGTGCCTCAGTTTCCTCATCTGTAAAATGAAGGGGGAGCTCTGAGGTCCCTTTAAACTCTAGCTCCAGGCTCCTGTGAATGGCGGAGGGAAGGTCAGATGGTGTCCTAGGAACACTTGAATATGTAGGGAATGAGCTTTCCCGGCTGGAAGGGTCAGGAAAGGCTGCCCAGAGGAGGAGAGACAACGTGAAATGTGAATGTGAAGGCCAGAGGGCTCTCCAGGCATGGGGGACAGGGACGGGAGGGATGGAAGGGATACCTATGGAGGGTGGTCCAGTTTGGCCTGGCGTAGATTGACCTCACGGCCACAAAATTAAGGCACAGCCCTGAAGTCGATGGACTTGATTTAGATGTTGAGATGAGGCTTATGTGCCCTCAACGGGGTTGTTTATTAAGCACCTGCTGTATGCAGAGGCCAGAATAAACCTGGGGAATGAGAGGGCTATAGAATGTCTTGGCTTGGCTGAGTGCAAGATTGCTTGTTGAGTCAACCGATGAATCGACAAGCACATATTAAGCACCTACTGTATGCCAGGAGCCGTGACTGCAAATGCGGTGAAGGAAGCACTGTCTACTCTCAGGAGGCTTACATTCTAAAGGAACGGGAAGAGTGGAAGGCGTGAAGGCCAGGTGAAGGAGTCTGACCTTTTCCCAAGTCCTTTTGTGAGCAAAGGTGGAGCCAGTAGGCTTCTCATATTTTCTGGTTTGGGAGACAAATAGCCAGAGAGCAATTTGTTTGAAAAAGATTTGGGAGATTTAGTGCGAATCAACTGCCTTGAGAAGGCCGCCATCTTGGGCCCCATTGAGAAGCTTGGCTTCTAGCCGTAAGGATGTTGGACTCCCCTGGTCAGCCTACACCTTCACTGTTGTCGGTTCTGGATCCCAGATTTTGAAAAGGACTTTGACCACCTGGAACATCCAAAAGGGGCAGGGATGAGGCTGGCAAAGAGCCTGCAGCCCAGACCAGAGGAGGAGCCCAGAAGCAGCAGGGGATGTTTAGCCTGTAGCGGACAGGACTTGGGGCTGGAAGGGCATCAAAACCATGTCCCCGTCTCGAAAGAATGTCTTTGGAAGGGAGATTACACTTGTTCAGCATGTAGAAGGAACGAAGAGGAGCAGGTTTGGGAGCACTTAGCACTGACCAGTCATGGCCTGGGCTGGCCTGGGAGGTGGTGGCGGCCCTCCCCTTAGGGGTCAAGATCACTTGTTGTGAGGGTATTGGGAAGGAGATTCCTTCTTGGCTAAGACTTGAGTTGGATGGCTGGGCCATATCCAGCAGCGCCATTTGCATCATAATTTCCTCCATGGAGGTGTCATTATCTCCCTCCCAACTAGGAGATTGTGATTGTGCTAAACTCTGGGTGTACCAAGCAAGGCCGAAACAGCCCCTGCCCTCAAGGAGCCCACATTCTTACGGGGATGATGGGTACATAGGAAATGATGTCACCACGGGCAGGGTCAAACATATCAAAAGGGGCAGCAGGTTTTGAGGGAGGAAGGTAATGCTTCACGTTTGAGATGTGTTCAGTCTGAGATGGTGGTAAATCATCCAACAGACAGAGTATCTTAGAGCTAGAAGAGACCATAGGGAAAATGAGGCCCAGAGAGGGGAAGTGACTTAGCCAACATCTCATTGCCTAGGGATCTGGAGACCTTAGTGGACCACAAGCTTACAATGCAGCTACAGTGTGAAGTAGCAGCCCTCAATGCTAATGGAATCTGAGGCTACTGCATGGAGAGATGGGGTGTCCAGAACAGTCAGTCCATCAGTAAGCATTTATTAAGCACCTACTGTGTTCCCAGCACTGTGCTAAGTGCCTGGGATTCAAAGAAAGATGAAAGACAGTCCCTGCCCTCAAGGAGCTCCCAGTCTAACGGGGGAGACAGCATACAAACCACCATAGACAACCAAGCTATTCTATCCGGTATAAATCGGAGATAATCAGCAGAGAGCTGCTGGATTTGTCTAGAAGGGAGTTGTTGGTGACCTGCCCAGGCACAAGTGCGCATGCTTGCCCGGTGCTGAGCGCACAGTAGGTACACTCCAGTATATGTGGGCCGTTATGTACAGACACACGTGTTTGGATGCATGAGACGGTACAAGCACATCTACAGATTCACACCCATGCAGCAATCCATTCAACTCACGCTCATAATATCAGACGTCTGCAGAGAGCTTTCCTACATTTTCTCATTTGGTCCTCACTACAATCCCGTGAGGGTGGGTGCTGTCACCCTCCCCATTTCACAGTTTAGAACACTGAGACTCAGCTAGGAAGTTAAGTGTTAATTCTAATCAGATTAAGTGGTGACTCTAATAAGATTAAATTTAATTGGAATCCATGTCAAATCCAATTCTTGGGTTCAAAAAGTCATGCTCACAAGTACAAGACAGGAGAGGCACAGCCAGAGGGTGGGAACATGGAGCCTTAGTCTGGGGGGGGGAGCAGTGTGGTGGGGCAGCCTCCCCCTCTGCCCCCACCAGCAGAATGTGACCTTGGGCAGCCCTAGTGGCCAGGACCGCCAGGGTGCTGGTGTCTCTGGCCTCTGGCCCATGCAGACCACACTACCCCACCCCATACCTGGGGAATTGTGCTATGTTGTGGGGCCACAGATTAGGAAGGATTGGGATAAGCAGGAGGATGTCCCGAGGAGGGCACCCAGGCCGGCGACGAGCCACCGCGAGCTCAGCCTTCTGCTTCCCGGGCGTGTGGCCCTGCTGTCTGCATGTGCCAGACCCAGACACACACACACACACACACACACGTGGAATCACCAGCTCTGCTTTTTGTTTTTTAAAAAAGTCCAATGGAATCTCTATCCCAATGAGTCTTAACCCTCCCAGAGCAACCCCCTAGGGACATATCTTGAGATCGCAACTGAGTGTTATTGGAGTGACCGCCTGGGCCCCCCGGTGGCAGGCCTCCATCCAACCCTTGAGAGGGAAGGGGCCTTCTTGGATTGATAAAGCCCAGGATTCCCCAGGATCCAAGTCAGAATGGTGGAGTGGGAAGACTTGAGCTCTGGATCTGGGTTCAGATCCTGCCTATGCCTCATATGATGTTGGATAAATCACTCCCTGGCTCTGGGTCTCAGTTTCTTCACCTGCAAACTAGTGGGGTGGGGACAGGGGGTATTCTGCCTTCTGGTTGTGTATCTGGTGGTCCTGTAAGGGTGGGGTGCAGTCCTTGGTGGCAGAGGAGATGTGACTGGCATAGGGCGATGAGGGGTCCGTGGGACAGGCACACAGACAAACACACAAGCTTAAGAGAGGTTGAAGACAGAACCACACAAACACACGCGCGCACACACTGGCCAAGGCGGACGAGCTTCATCTCCTATGCCGCGTCCTCCAGGTGTGCACATCTGTCTCCAGGCGCTTCAGCGTATGGTGATCAGATGGTCAGACCTGCTGTTCTGATCTGTGTCTCCCCTTGACTTAGCTGGGATGGTGGGAGGGAGGTAACATCTCAGCAGTGCTTCCTGCCCTCCACCCCCACTCTGCTGTTGTCCGCCGCTTCCCCCCCCCCCCCCCCCCCGCTTAAGGGTTCTTTCTGTTGGGGGGCATAAGAGGGGCCCAGGGGAAGGAAAGGTCGGGGGAGGGGGGCCTGGCCGAGTCTGGGCTTGAGGTGCGGGGGAGGGGCTGGCCGAGTCTGGGCTCGGGGGTGCGGGGGAGGGGCTGGCCAAGTCTGGGCTCGGGGTGCAGGGGAGGGGCTGGCTTATGGATGGGGCTCTGGAAGAAGATCTGGCATGTGGGGTGATGGTCAGGGGAGGAGAGGAGGGAGCAGGGCTGGCCAGTGGATGGAGGGGTGGGGGAGAAGCACAGAGAAGGGCGAGTTCTACCTGTTGTGGAGGGAATTCAGATTTTTCGTTGGGTAGATGGGGAATGGGAAGGATCCAGGCCTCAGCTTGTCCCCCTTCTTTGTCCAGATCTCAGCCGCTCAGCAGAAGGTCCCAGGGGCTTCCTCATCCCCATCGCTACCTCACCCGCCACCACTGGGCGATAGCCCTCACCTGCCTTCCCCCCACCCTGCCCGGCCCCCCTCGCGACCTCCTTCCCGGCCCCACTCCCGCCCACCCTCCCAACCCCAGAGTGTATCCCGGCCACCCTCCGAGCCTCCCCTGCACCCTTGCCCACCGCCTCAGCCCCTGCCTGGCCTCTTTGTCATCCAGAACCCCCTGGGCCCTTCCTCCCATGGGGCCCCTACTCCCGCCCCTGCCGCAGCCCCGACTCCCCCTCTGCGGCCCCCCTCTCAACCTCCTGAGGGTCCTGCACCTCCCCCTCCTCACCTGCAGGCACAGTTAGCGACCACCACCTCCGATGCCACCTCCAGGATGCCTGCCTCAGCACCCCCTGATGCCCCTCACTCAAATTCACCCCACTTCCAGCTCCAGTTTGCCCCAAGCCAAGTGCCCCTCAAACCCCCCACACCCACACCAGCGGTCCACCTTGCTTCAGAGCCCCCTCCACAACCTCCAGCCCCCCCACCGCCGAGGACCTTCCAAATGGTGCCCAACCCATTCCAGGCCCTGGCCACCCCGGCGGCCCAATCCAAGCCACTCCTGGAGAGATTCCACCAGGTGACAGTGAGGGCATGGGACTGGGGGTGGGGTGGGGGCCCAAGCATGAGACCCCTCGTCCCTTCTTTCCTGCCCCTGACTCCTCATTCAGGATTACAAGCCATTTGGGCCAAAACTGAGGCCAGTGAGATGACCCGCCCCCCAATCCTAGCACAGACTCAATTCCCATTCTGGGATCCCCAGGCAGCGTGCTCTTCTCATGGGGTCTTCTGTCAGGGTCCTGTGTCTTTGTACCCTCCTCTCCTCTCCTCTCCACAAGCTTACCTCTTCTCCTTCGTGCCCCCAGGTGCCATCTGGGCTCATTCTCCAGGGTAAAGCTGCAGGTCCCCCAGCCACCCAGCAGACCCCCCAAACGCTGGGCCCCCTTGCCAGCCCGGCCCCATCCATCCTGGTTAGTGGACAGGCCCCACCTGGAGCTCAGGCCACCTCCAGTCACCCTCCTGCCCCAGCAGCCAGCACAGGTATGTGGTAGACTTGGGGAGGGAGTAGAGAGACGAGGCAGAGCCCAGTGGGGGCAAGTGGGGAAAGTGTCTTTGATGTCACTCAGATACCAGGGGAGAAAGGATAGAAAAAGACAAGGGAGGCCTGATCTAAGGGGGAGATGTGGCCCCACCTTATCGAAGCCTCAGTCTGAGGGGGGAGCCTTGAGTCTGGGGTGAGGGGAGGGATAACCCGGCTTTTTGGAGGTCTTTCTCCAAAGGCCCATTGTGAATAATATTGCCAGAAGTAGAGCCAGTGTTGGGCTCAGAGGGAGGGAAGGAGGCCTCTGGCTTGGGGCCTGTCCCTGGTCTCAGCTCCTCAGCTGTCCCTTCATTTATCCCTGCAGATAGCAAAGTGTTTGGCAGCAGCGTTCCGGCCTTGGGCGGGGCCAAGGCAGGCACGGGGCAGGGAAAAACGTCTGGCCCATCTCCGGGGCAGGTAAGAGCTGCTCAGAGATGGACCCATTGGCCAAAGCCTCGAGACCACAGACCCGGGCGTAGAGTCAGGTGGACATGAAGGAGGCAGGCCAAGATGGGCAAAATGTGGTCATTGATCAAGGAAGGCTGAAACAGCTGCTTATCTTTCTCATGAAGTAATCTGGGATAGATAGGCCCCTGACACATTAGATAGGAGCATTGGGATCCAGAAAGAGGCCATCCGGCCAAATCTAATAAGTAGAGCCCTTGGGTCTGGTCCAGGATGGAAGAGGCCCGGCCAGCTGCAGGTCCCATAGAAAAAGTTTGAGTGGAGACCAATATGGCGACCAGAAAAGCCAGCATGGTGTCAGGCCTCGTTAAGAGAAGCAAGGAATCTGTAACAAAGGAGATGGTATGACCATCCCTCAGACCTTGGCCCTGGCCAGACCACATCTGGAGTTTTAAGGACATCAACAGCCAGGGAAGGGTGCCTACCATGGCACGAGGCTTGGAGACCTCACCAAGTTAATCTCTGACTAAGGAACTAGGCATGTTTAGCCTGGAGAAGAGATTATTTAGTGGGGGCAGGACAGAATTGCCATCAAGTCGCTGAGTTATGTCAGAAATTGCAAAGAAGGAAAGCTAGGCTCGATGTAAGTGGCAGCTTTCTAACGATATGCAGCCACCCCAGAGTGAAACGGGTGCCTACCCTGGAGAATGTAGAGCCCCCCACATAGCTAGAGGCCTTCGTACGTTGCTCCGTTGGGGATGTCTGCTGGGGCTCCGGTTGGATTAGAGGTCCTGAGCCCCCAGAGACATGCAGACACAGGCAAAGGTAGATAGATGGTTAGGTGTACAGAGACACATCTAGAAATAGAGTCCAAGGGAGGCTGACACAGGCCCAGCTGTATAGATAGATGCAGAAGCAGAGATACCAATACAGGGTGAGCCCCACTTGGCTGGGCTGGGCCCCCTCAATGCCATCCCCCCCTCCCCCATCCCACCTCTCCCCCTAAGGTCGTTGCCATGAGCCCAGGGCCCAGCCTAGGCCTTCCCAAGGGGCCCCTGCAGATCCAGGTTGTGGGGAAAGGGCTCCCCGAGCTGAGACCTAGCCCCCCTGTCCAGGTGAGATCATCTCTTTCCTCACCCCCTTCTCCTTGAGTGCCTGAATGTCAAGGGCCATCGGTCCCCTCTGACCTTCGTGCTCTCTTCTCAAGCCAGGAGCACATCTCTGTCTCTCTCGGGGTCTAGCCTGAGCTGCTGGGGTGTGGCGGGCAGGGATGAAGTTGGGGGGGAGCAGGGAAACCTTCAGAGATGCCCTGGATAGACTTTCATCCTCTCTTTCCCCTCCTTTTATCCCCCTAAGTATGAGAGCAAAATGAGCAGCCTGAAGAAACCTGCCACCGTACAGCCCAGCAAAGAGGCCTGGTGAGTGGGGGCCGGGGCCGGGCCGGGTGATGCAGACGGAAGGAATGTCCTTGCCTCCTCTGGGCCTCGATTTCTCCTGGTCTCTGTCTTCTGGGTCTCCCGTGTAGCATTTTTATTTTTCAAATTAGTTTTATCAAGGCCTCGTGCTATTATTGTATTTCTGAATACATCCCTCGCCCTCCCCCCCCCCCCCCAGTGAATTATGGCTTGTGACAAATGTTAAAAATGAAAGAGAAGAAAGTAGTCCAGCCAAGCCAGCCAGCACGGCGCCATGGCTATGGGCATATGCGGTATCACAGGTCCATGGTCTCCCACCTCCGCAGAAAAGGCAGGGGGGTGCCTTTTCTCATTTCTTCTAGGACAAATATGATGGGTAGACAGGGTTCAATTTTGGAGGTCTTTTTGTTTTTTCAGTTTACATCATTCTAGTAATTATCAGTCAGTAAAAGTATTATTAAGCACCTGTTGAGTGCCAGACAAGGTGCTAAGCACTACGAATACAAAGGAAGGGTAAAGACTGTTCTGCCTTCAAGGAGTTTCCAGTCTAATGGGGAAGATGGCAGTGTCCAAACAGGCTCTGTGGTGCGCTCCTGGTCCTGCTGCCTTCATTCTGCATCCGTTCATCTAAATTTTCCCAGGCTTCTCAGAATTCTTCACGTGTGTTATTTCTGACAAAGCATTCATTATGTTACATTCACCTGCCCCCGTTAGCTTAGCTGTTTCCCTGTGGACGGGCAGCTACTTTGTTCCCAGTTTTTTACTTCCACAAAAAGTGCTATTGTGACTGTTTTGGTGTGTGTGTGCGTGTGTGTATGTGGGGGCCACCTTTCTCCCTGTCTCACCGCTCTCACGCCCTTGCCCCCAGCTTTCTGGAGCACCTCCATAGGCATCAGGGCTCCGTGCTGCATCCTGACTATAAGACAGCCTTCCCCTCCTTCGAGGATGCCCTACGCCGCCTGCTGCCATATCACGTCTACCAGGGGGCCCTGCCCTCTCCTCACGACCACCGAAGAGGTGAGGGCCTGCTGGGATTCTCCGGGCACTCTCCCGACCGGGTGAGGGGAAGGACCCATCAGGATCGTCATGCTCTCGTGCCCTGGACCTCTGTTTCTCACATATAAAAGAGGGGTTTTGGCTGTAGATTTGTGATGCTGAGTCACTTGGTCTCCCTGGGCCTCAGGTTCTTCTTCAGTAAGTTGAGGGAGTTGAATTAAGCAGCCTCTGAGATCCCTTGTGGCTCTGGGGCTTGTTCTGGTGGTACCTCTGACTTGAGGTCAGTATGCACCATGAGGATCCTTGTACCTCTTAGCCCACTCACAGGAGTGAAAGACCCTCGGCAGTGACCCTTCCAGCCCCAGCCACAAAAAGATGAGGCCTGAAGGGGCAGCTAGGTGGCACAGTGGGTAGAGCTCCAGACTTGGAGTCAGGAGGACCTGAGTTCAAATGTGGCCTGAGACACTTGACACTTACTAGCTGTGTGACCCTGGGCAAGTCACTTAACCCTGATTGCCTCACCCAAAAAAAAAAAAAAAAAGATGAGGCCCAACAAGGCTGGAAAGGCTTTGGAACAGGGACTCTGGAAACACCATGAGGAAGCTCCCAAGAGAGGAAGAATTTGGGGGTACTGTTGGGGGAGGTTGGAAGTTGAATGGGTTGGTGGCAATGAGTCATGTGAAAAAAAGGCATGAATTTGGCATCTGAGGCCCTGGGTCAGCATCCTGGTTGTACTACTTTCTTAACTGTATAACCTGCAGCAAGTCACTTGAATTCTCTTGGCCTCGGTTATCCTCATCTGTTAAATGGGCATGTTGCTTTCTAAGGTTGTGACTTGGTGACCCTTCTGAGGGTCCTTATCTGTGTCCCTGGTGTTGCTGAGGGTCACTGGGGGGCGGGGGGAGAGATGGAAGGAGCCTCGTAGACCGTACCCTATAAGAGACCACCCCCAAGTATTTCTTTCTCCATCACCATGTATATGAAAGACACATGGTGGGAAGGAGAGAGAGAGTTTGCTTCTGTGCCTGTCCCCTCTCTCCGGCAGTGGACGAGGAGTTTGAGACTGTTTCCACGCAGCTGCTGAGACGCACTCAGGCCATGCTGAATAAATACCGCCTGCTTCTCCTGGAGGAGTCCCGGGTAGGCCCCCCATTCACCCTCTGCCCCAGGGTCCACCTGCCAGCCCCACAGCTGCCGGGACTGGAGGAGGCATCGGCGTTCACAACCTCGTGAGGGGCAAATGTTTCCCGAGGAAATCTCCACAGGCAGAATGATGCAGTGGACCTGGGTTCAGATCCTGCATCTGATGCTTACTGCCTATGTGACCTTGGGCAAATGCTTAATGTCCCTGGGCCTCTGGGTCCTCCTGGGCACGAGGAGAGGGCTGGGCTAGCTGGCCCCTGTAGTCCGTTTCAGCCCTCGATTGAGGACCCCTTGATTCCCCTGTTCCATCGGGGCCCCTTGTCCCAGCCCTCATCCCCTGGCCTCGTGCCTGCCGTGTGTGTCACGGGGAACGTGGATTTGGACACTTACAGGGAGGAATCCTGAAGAGCCAGGCAGAGTAGGGGGCCAGGAGACCCGGCTCTGTCGCTCAGTGACACTGTGCCGGCCCCTCGGCCGTGCAGCTGGGTGGAGGAGTTCGGCTTCGACACTCCCCAAGCCCCGTGCCGCCTCTGATGCTCTGCCCCTTGTCTCCCCCAGAGGGTGAGCCCTTCTGCAGAGATGGTCATGATTGATCGGATGTTTATCCAAGAGGAGAAAACCACCCTGGCCCTGGACAAGCAGCTGGCCAAGGAGAAGCCTGGTAAGAGCAGGCCCTGGTCCCGGGATCCCCCGGCCCGCTGGTGCCTCCACCTGGGCTCCTTAACAGGCACATCTGTTCCCCACCTTTTCTCTGGAGAAGGTGATTCTTCCTGCTGTTCTCCCCCCCCCCCCAGCCACATACCCCCACTGTTCATCCTCCCTGGGATCTAAAGGAGTAGGGGGCAGGTGGCTGAATGAAAGCTATCCCACTGGCCCCCCGAAACACAGCAGGCAGCAGGTTTCTGTTCAGTTCTGTTCCACAAATATTTAAGTATGCTTTGAATGCCGGAGGAGGCATGAGGTTTACACCTGACAGTGCCTGCCCTCACGCGGTCCACAGTCCAGGAGGGAATCACTGGGATCGCGGTTAGGTGCCGAGGACACCTAATGGGGGCATTCCAGGGGGCTGGTGACCCATTTCTCTTTTGAAAAAGGCCCAGTGCTGGATTCCTGTGCTGCCCTGAACCTCGGGGGCAGGGGGGGCTGGAAGGCAGACCCGCACCCTAGTGACGCCCATTTTTCTGTCCTTACCCCTTGCAGATGAGTATGTGTCCTCCAGGCCTCACGGCCTTCCGGTCTTGGGATCAGAGAGCCATGGTGCCCACCGGCTGAGCTGCACCCCAGCCCACCCCCCACTCTCTTCCTCCTCCTCGGGGGCCCCGACCCAGCTGCCCCCGCACCCACCCACCAAGCTGGTGATTCGGCACGGTGGGGCCGGCGGCTCTCCCTCCGTGACCTGGGCCCGCCCTTCCTCCTCCTCATCCTCCTCCTCTTCCTCCTCTGCGGCTTCTTCGCTGGATGCGGACGAGGATACGCCCCTGCCGTCCCGGAGCCGCCCGCCCATCAAAACCTATGAGGCGCGGAGTCGGATTGGCCTCAAACTGAAAATAAAGCAGGAGGCCGGCCTCAGCAAGGTGGTCCACAACACAGCCTTGGACCCTGTCCACCACCCTTCTCCAGGACCCAAGGGGACCGAGCCCCCGGCCCCAGCCCTGGCCTCTTCGGGCCAGATGAACGGGACAGTAGAGCACCCCCCTGCACCCCCGGATCGGAAGCCAGCCCCACCCACCTCTCAGTGCCCCAGGCTGCCCCTCCGCAAGACGTACCGGGAGAACGTGGACGCCTTCAGCAGCTGCCGGGCCGGGGCCCCCCGGGCAGCCGCAGGGGGGAGCCCGGCCCCGGCCCCCCTCGTAAAATCGGACGACACCACCAGCGGCCTCATCCGGGAGCTGGCCGAGGTGGAAGACGAGTTGTACCAGCGGGTGATGAAGGCGGCCCCCCTGGAGGTGGTGACCGCTGGGACTGGGGCCGGAGCTGGGCCCGCCTGGGAGGCGCCTCCCTTGCCGCCGGCCAAAAGGCGCAAATCGGAGTCCCCGGACATGGACAACGCCAGCTTCTCCAGCGACAGCCCCCAGGACGACTCCCTGACGGAGCACCTGCAGAGCGCCATCGACAGCATCCTCAACCTCCAGCAGGCGGCCCCTCAGCCCTCCGGCCGGACTGCGGGCGGCGCCTCGCACCCCCACCCGGCCGCCTCCCCTCCCCTGCACCGGCCCGACGGCTACCTGGGCCCCAGCCACAACGGGGGCCTGGGCGCCAGGACGTTGAATAGATAACAGCAGAGCACCCCCCGCCCTTCCCTCCGCGGCCCCTGCAGACAGCCCCGAGGATGTGCGTCCAGGGAGGGTCAGGTCAGGGTCCCCCCTCTTCCTTCCCCCCCAAACAACTTGCTGTTTCTTTCCTAAGTTATTGGATTTATCAATACCCCGCCCTCCGGCCTGGCTCCAGTCCCAGAACACTAAGAAAGGAGGGGGGGAGCGTGGAGCAAGCAAGCAAGGTCCCTGGGTCTCGGGGAGGCCCTTGGGGGCCCCCCAGCACCCACAGCCTGTGATCTCAGTAGGTCCGTGGGCTCTGCTCCAGCTCCAGGGGAGGGGGAAGGAGGGGACGCCGATTACTGCCACTGTGTGTACGTCCGTGTGCTTGTGTGTGAGAGAAAGAAAGAGAGAGAGCAGGGAATGTTTAAAAGTTGGGAGAGGGACCTTAGGGACCGTGGAGTCCAGAGAGAGGAAAAAGGATTTATCAAGAGCCTACTACATACCAGGCACTGTGCTAAGTGCTTTACAAATATTAGTGGATTTAGAGCTGGGAGGGACCCTAGAAGCCATCTCTTTCAGTGCCCTTGGGAAATTGAGGCCCATCCAAGGGAAGGGACTTGTCCAAGGTCACACGACGGCCCGTCAGGAGTAGCATTGGAGTAGAACCGTCCCCCAGCTTGCCAGATTACTTGCACCACCGTGCCTCCCACTGTGTCTCTTCGTGAAGGGGGCTGTCTTTTCTAGCCCTCAGAGGAGCTCCGTGTGTGTGTGTGTGTGTGTGTGTGTCTGCGTGTGCGTGTGTGTGTATGCGTGTGTGTGTGTGCGCTGCCCCCCCCACCCCCACCCCCCAAATCAGAGAGTCTCCCAAAGCCGAAGCAGAACACTCTGTCTTCCCACCCTTCAGCCCTGCCCTTCCTTCCACCCCACTGCCGGGCTTTGAGATCTCGGAGACAAACTAGTACTGTAACATATTTTGTACTGTATTTATTGTGTATAACGATTTTTTAAGGAATCCTGTACATTTAGTATTCCCCTGTAAATTAAAGCCAGTCCTCTTTTTAAACCGGGATCGTGCCCTGCCCTGTCTCCACTCCCTTCCTTCTGGTGCTTCCATGTTGGGGTTGGGGTTAGGGATTGGAGGTGCAGAGTGTAGGTCTGGGAGGGGGGCTTCTCCTTTGCTTCTCTAAAGGAGGAGAGTAGTGACTGATAGGCTGACAGAGACCAGGAGAGATGGAAACATGAGGAAATACAGAGAAAGACCAGGAAATCAGCACGGCTGACATTTCCATAGCATTCAGAGCTCCCCTACTGAACAGAGAAGCCCTGATCTCTTATCTCTGCTTGACGGAGAAGGAAACCACTTAGGCTAAAATGACTTGCCTAGGGGCAGCTAGGTGGCGCGGTGGATAGAGCTGTGGCCTTGAAGTCAGGAGGACATGAGTTCAAATGCAGTCTCAGACACATGACACTTACTAGCTGTGTGACCCTGGGCAAGTCACTTAATCCCGATTGCCTCATCAAAAAGCAAAATAAATAAATAAACTTTTAAAAAAATGCTTATAAAATGACTTGCCCAGAGTCACACAGCAATTAAGCACTTGAGCTAGGCAGAACACATATGCAGTGTTCAGACATGCTAGCCATCCCCTCCTTTCCTGAGGGGAGGGAGAGAGATTTTTTTTCGGGGGGGAGAAGGAGGGGAGAGAAGATCCTAAGCTTAATCAGAAATAAGTGTGAACTGGCGCAGATTGGGGAGGGGGGCTGGAACTTCAGCTCCCCTGGAAGGTGAAGTTGGAGCTCTCTGCTAAAGCAAGCTGCTTAGCTATTCTTGCCTGCTCTATGTTAACCCTTTGAAGGACCAAAGTGATGGAGAAGGCAGCAATGAGGATGTTTGATTCTGGCCATTGGGGGGAGTGCATTGCAGCAGCAGAACCGCGGGTTGTGATGGCGTGGGCCTGTGACCCCTGCTTCTGGGGAGGCTGAGAGGCTGCTGACCCAGAGTTTGGGGGCTACGGTTCTGACAGCCGATCAGGCGTCCTCACTGGGTCTGGCACCCACAGAGCAGCAGCCAGGAGACTAGGAGCCACCACACTGCCTCAGGGGGGTCAAAATGGCCCAAACAGGTCAGGTCGAAGCCCCCATGCTGGTCAGCCGGTGGGCCTGGCACTGCTAGCCTGGCCAAAATAGGAAAGTGCAGTCTCCGAACGTGAGATTGGGGCGGATAGAAGAAATGGAGGGGAGCTGCGACGGGGAAATGACTATGATCTTGGAATTAGAGTCAGAGAAAGAAGGGCAATCCAGGCTCTCGATTTTGGGAGCATGGATAGAGTGGACAGGACCCCCCTCAGAAGCCGTGTGGCCCCAGGGAAGTATCTTCGGACCTCAGTTTTCTGTTTGGCCATTAGAGTCCCTCCCAATCCCAAGACCATGATAGTAAGGGATTCAGAGAAAGGCTAGGTAGGATTCTGCATCCAAAAATTCTATTGGGGAAGCTGACGGGAAGCACCGTGGGATGTGATAGTGAAGCCGACAAACACCATTCCAGTTAAGAAGAAACCAGGAGCTACCTCAGAAGAGACCAGTGAGAATGCTTAGGAAGCGCCCCAATCAGCTCAGGTTTTCAAAAGTGTTACCGGTGATGAAAAGAAGGGCCAGGGCAGGGGAAGGTGAAAACAAGAGTGTTGGAGCCTTCAGAAGAACTCTCAGAGTATGCTGAGGTTGGGGATGGGGGCAACCAGCCTCTGGGAATTTCGGAGTTCTCATCTGTAAAATGGGGATAATAGCCGTAGAGCCTACCTCCCTGGGTGATTGTAGGTTTTAAAGGCAATAATGTCTGTAAAGTGTCATCACAACACAAAGCTCCCGCTGTTACTGACGGTGGAATGAAAGGTTCCCTGCCACCCATGCTTAGGGATTTCAGGCCATAGTATGGGTGCAGAACAGTTAAGAAATTCTGTTGAGTTTTGTTTTGGGGAGAGTGGCCCGGGGAAGGATCACCCCTGGTTCCACTGGTCCTGCCTGGCTTTCCCTGAAGACAGTCTTAAAAGGAAGAGATCACTGATGGGACAGGAATGGGATTCATGCTCCGAGGCCCTTCCCCCACACATATACACAGGTAGCTCCTGGTCCCTTTGGGGAGCTTGGATGGCTATGGAGCAGCCATGTGGCTGATCTGAGTTCAAATCTGAGTGGTACCACCTATCACCTGTTTGACCTGGGACAAGTCACTTAAACACCACGGGCCTCAGTTTCTTCACCTGTAAGATGAAGGGGTTGGGCCAGATGACATCTTAGGACCACTTAGCTCTTCGAGCTTTGGCCCTGGAACATCAGAAGTGGGGTTGTAGGACTCACGCAGTCTTGTTTTGGCTTGGAGGGGACCTCGGGAGCTTTTACGTTGAGGAAACTAAGGCCTTGTTAAATGACTTCTACAGATAATGGATAAAGCAGGATTTAAACCCAGATCTCCCTGACTCTGACTCTGGTGCTTTACCTGGGCTGAAACTCCTATCTGGCACCGGTCATGTTAGAATGATCGGAATGGGGCTGGACCTGGAATTGTATTCCCGGGTGAGAAACCGCCCTCCGCCAAGGCAGTGCTGCCTTCCATGTAATTTCAGTCGGAGTCACCTAGACAAACCTGCCCACGGTCACACAGTCAGTCTGGGTCCAAGGCAGAGCTTAAGCCCAGGCCTTCCTGCCTCAGAGGCCAGCTCTATATCCACTAGCGGCAGAAGTAAAAAGACCTCCGGCCCTGGGAGGTGTGTGTGAGGAGGGGTGTCCCCTGAGGAGGGTCTTGAGGAGAATGGTGACCCAGAAGTGACCAGAACTGCACAGGATGAGAAGGTCTGGTGGAGTGGTGAACTTCCCCCAGAAAGCCAGAGAGGGCTCCCCCTCACGAGGATGTCGGCAAAGAAAGTCAGCATGGATGGAGCTCTATGCTGAGCCCTGGGGACCCCAAGACAAGAGGGAAAGGCCAAGCCTTCGAGGAGTCCAGATGATAATGGGGCCCTGGGTTCATCCAAGCAGGGGACTACTTTGACGTTTACAAAGCATTTTGAGTATGTGAATAATAAAAATGCTATCAAAAGCTCTGTGTCTATCTATAGCTATATATCTATACCTACATATAGAGATATTTGTGTGTGTGTGTGTGCGTGTGTGTGTATAATATCACTTGCTCCTTACCTAGCCTTGTGTGTGTGTGTGTGTGTGTGTGTGTGTATAATTTCACTTGCTCCTTACCTAGCCTTGTGAGATAAATAGGGATGATGGCGCAGGGGTATGTGTACATACATATACATATGTACATGCATATATATATATATATATGTACATATAGAGAGAGGGGAACTAGGGAGAGAAAGAGAGAGAGAGGGAGAGAGAGAGAGAGAGAGAGAGAGAGAGAGAGAGAGAGAGAGAGAGGGAGTCATATTACTGTTTGCAGGATAAATGTAAATGTGAGATAAGAGTCTCTTACCCTTGCGGCTGGGCATAACCAATTTGATCTCCCTTTAATCCTAGAAGCGAGGGGTAGTTTAACCTATATAGAATCTCTGCATGAATCGTCTCAGTTTGCTTGGGGTCCTTATTTTCACATAGTAACAGATACCGATTATGGGAACTTCCTCACTTTTTTTGAACCAGACCTAAGGTTTAATTGGCATAGGGAGCTCCCAGTGAAGAAACTCCCTCTACCACTTTTTTTTCACTAGTATTTGCATCCCCAGAGCTTAGCACTGTGCCTGACACATATAAATTCTGAATTAATTCATCCATTCTTCCTTCCTTCCTTCCTTCCTTCCTTCCCAAATCAGAGGTCAAGGGACTTGTCCAAGGTCACCTAGTGCATGTGTCAGAAGAAGGATTGGAACTTCAGTGTTCCTGACTTGCTCTCAAGTCACTGTGCCAAGCTGTTATCTCTAGCTAGCCCCACTTTACGGATGAGCAAACTAAGGCTCAGAGAAATCATCTGACTTTCGGAGGGGTCACACAGCGGGTCTGCGTGGGCGGTGGGCTGCACACGCAGGTCTCTCCAGTGCTCCCTCCCCTCCCCGATGCTGCCTCAGAAGACCGGTGCTCAAGAGAAAGACAACGGGAGACGCAAAGAAGGGAG